CAAGATTGAGTCCAACTTAGTGATGAGGTGTGATGGATGATGAATGAAGGTGAGGACCTTAAGCATGTATGTAAAGACTTGGGCAAGCGATAAATGTAAAGAAGACAAGATATACGTGGTTCACCCTTAATGAATGGGCTACGTCCACGGAGAAGTATGTTCTCATTATAATAGTGTATGATTACATTTGTACATAGGGTTGGACCCGAATATAAAGATAACAAGTGAGATGCCCAGGTCAGGGATCTAGAAGAGAGTCCCCGGCCCTAGGGTCTAGCTCTAAGACCCGGATCCTCTTCTAAGTGGGGAGAGGAAGTCCCCTTTTCACATGGATACTATTCCCTATTTATAGGGAGGTGAAAGTGGGAGGTTTGTGTAGATTTCCGATGTGGGACTTTGCACAAGTCACTGTGGTGGTGACACGTGTCATGGTGTTGATGCTCTTGGTGCTAGTTGCTTTGATGCTGGATATGCTCGGTTGATTATGGTGTAAACAGATAATTTTAGTTCTTCTATTTTCGAGTAAAATATTCAAATGATTTTGATGATTTAAATTCAGAATCAATTTATGGCAATAGTTCAATTGCACACAACAATTATAAGTCAAGAAAAAAAGGGTAAATTCTATATCTGGGCCTCTTTCTTGCATACCACACGACAAATCTTTACCTATTTATCTTATTTAAATAAGGAAAAGAAAAATCCCCTCGCACTCTCTAATTGAATCAAATAAAGTAACGTCGAATCTTAATTGAGGGATTATTACTACATTTTAGCCCTTATTATTATTATTTTTTTTAAAATGAAACCATTGCTCACTTCTCAAAGAAGAAAGGAAAAAGAAAGAAAAAGGGAATCTTCTATTTTCTTCAGAGTTTGACTATTATTTTTAAAATTTAAAAGAAAGTTAACAGAAAGTCAAAAATAGTTGAAAGCTAAAACAGAAGCTCCAACAAATTAAACTAAAAGAATATAAAAGAAAACAAATTTATGATTTATCCATCGACCAACAGTAAAAAAAAGAAAAAAAACAACCATTTTAACCACTGTTAATTAAAAACATAAAACTATTTTACCCCACACGTGGCAGCATGAGAGCGATCCATAAATATATAAATCTCATCACCTCACAGATTCTGTAGATAATCAGGAACTCCTTTATTCCTTCTCTCTCTCTCGCCCTCCTCTCTCTCTAAATAAATCCATAAATATATAAATCTCATCACCTCAGACTTAAGAGAGACCTCAAGAGGAAGGAAACGGAGGGCGAGAGAGTCGAGTGATCTCAAGGGTTTTTATCGCACACGCTTTTTCACAGTGTCCAATCAATATCAATGGGAGGCGGAGTCATGAGGGCGGCTGCTAAGGTGGCGGGGATCGGCGGCGTTGTTCAAGGCGGCATGCTTCGTGGCGCGCCGGTTCCGTCGCCCTCCAGTCAGACCATCCGAAAGGCCTCGATCCCCGTTGCCGCGACCCTCACGGCTGAGAATGTCGGCGGGGTTGACGTGTCTCCGATCGAGAAGACGGCGTTGGATGCGATGGACGACTTCGTCGACTGGCAAGTGGTCGGCGCCGCAGACGAGGAGCTGGTGATGTCGGCCGGGGAGCCGATGCCGAGAGTCGTCTTCGACGCCGCGCCGAGCTTCAAGGAGGCCAGAGAGGCCACCACTGAATTGAAAGACGCCCTCGATAAGTACATTTCTCCGTCAATATAAGCCTTAATTATTTTTTCTTCGTTAATTCTGATTTCCTTCTGTGATTTCTTATTAAAATTTTCTTTTTTTCCAAAGCAATGACGTCCCCTTTTGTATTTATTTGTGTTATGCTCTGTTTCGTTGACGAGAAAAAAGTGCAAAAGAAGCGAATGAGTGCAGAAATGATTGAAATTTATATTTCTGCTCTGTTATTTTCCAAAGATGGTGTTTTTATTGCTTTATTTGAAACCCAAATAGATTTTTTCGAGATGATCGTAGGTGGTGAAAATTTGTTTATTTGGAGTTTTTGGGGATTTTTCATTTGGGATGAAGAAATGATTGGATGGTAAATTGGAGTTTTGCTGTTGGAGTATGGATGGTGAAATAATTTAGTTTCAAATAGTTTTTTTTTTTGGGTGTGAACTGTGAATTATATATTGGTTTTCATAGTTCATGAAATTGAAAGTGTTTGCTGTTGTTGCCCGTTTGTCAGCTTGTAGGTTGGTCTATTGTGTGTAGTCTCATGCTTGAATAATATTTTTTTCTCCATCATATGTTCAATTTTCAATAAATGAACTTTCAGGGTATATCTGTCTTCACCCAAATCTACTGAATTTGGGAAGCAGTCTGCTGCTGATAAGGTTTCTGGGCTGTCTCAAATTACGAACCCTGAACCTGAGGAGGTGGAATCCCTGATTCTTACTAGGACTTCCGTGCCAAAACATGCTTTTCAGGCATTTGAAATGCTGAGTAGAAGTACTGAAGCTCAGGTATTTGATTGAACTCCCAACTCATATCCTTTCAAGATGTTATCGCTGTGAATTTGGAAGTTAGTGTATGGCGCTTTTAGCTACCAAAATTCAGTTATGATAGTCTGGCTTATACCATTTGTTAGGGGACTAATTTATTTATTTTTTTCATGCCCAGAATGTTGTTGCTTCAATTGCAAGCGACCCAAATATCTGGAATGCTATGATGGAAAATTCTGCGGTCAAGCAATTCTTGGAGTCCAACAAGAACTATAAGCTCTATGAGCCCGAATATGTGTCAGATACTGAGCTTTCTGATCCAGTATCACCCAAGAAGCGTGAAGACAAAGACAAATCTGATGGGTTTGAAGCTGTGCTCCATGGTTTTGTGCAGAAAATCAAGCTTACCGTGGATAGGTGGGTGGGCGATTTGTCAACTTACGTCCAGAATATTTTTCCCTCCCCAGCTGAGAATGGAAATGCAGATGAGAATGGGAATACGAAGACGGTAGCATCTGCATTCATGGGGCTGGCAGTTATGGTTGTTATGGTGGTTTTGATGAAGCGTTCGTAGAGTTCATTATAGGTTGCCTATCTAAATCTGCCGAAAACACAGTCCTTATGAGTGTCTCTGCCTAATGTGCTTGCAGAATAAATAAACCCAAATTTGCTGCCGGGAAGTATTGCCATTAGGTTAGCGTGCTGCATATAAGTTTCTTAGCTTAATTGAACGTTTTCCATTTGGGTCAGTCCATTATTGATCGTTTATGGGAAGAGTAGTAAAATGACATGCACAGCTTATGTCTTTGGCACTCAGAATTTTTTTGGTATGTTTTGCAGTCAGATTTTCATTATGGTTACAGGATCAAGCTTAATCTTGTGTTTGAACAGAACCGTTGGAGTGTATTTTCTGTTCTTTTTTTGATCTTTCACTATTTACGAACTGGCAATTCATAGCCTACGTGCTTTTACAGAAGAAGATAATTGTTGCTTGGTCATATCAGGCGAGGAAGGTAATTGTTGTGTGGCTCTATGCCAAAGGATGAAGTTTCCTAGGGTTTACAATGTGTGATTTTAGCATCATGTTACGTCAGAAAATAGAAATGTTTTGCATTTCAACCTCATCGTGGGTTTGAGATCTATGAATGATGATATCCTGTGTATATATCCTTCGTTGAATTACGTTTGGATTAACTATTGTGTAAACTGAATTACTTGTTGAATAAGTAAAGCCTCCAAACACTCGAAGAGAACCCTCTTGCAACTCACTCACACATCCATTAAATTATTACAAAAAATGCATTATGACTTTTCTAGAGTGCAAATAAAAACTTCCTAAATTAAGAAGGATAAAATACGTACTTTTTTTTCTTCCTGCCAATGTCATATTCTAAACTATTCTAATGTACGAGAAAGGAATTGAACTCGGAAGAAAGGAGGCAAACATGTTATAATGACAAACTAGTCTAGTCCACATATACGAATAAAATTTGTAATTTATTATACTAGAACAAAATAAGGAATAAAACTTGTGTTGAGGGAAAATGAAAATAAAGAAAGTAAAGTTAGCGAATTTGGGGGTTCAAATACAACCACCCAGTTTTATTCAATTGTTGCCCTAATCTGACGGTGATGTTACAATTCACCAAACACTCGGTTGGTGGTCACATTTTAGTAATTAAACTATATTTCTCATCCCAGAGAGACTACAAACTGTTATTTCCTCGGGAGCATTCTTCAATTAAAATGTAAATTACAAATCTTAGATCATTGTTTAAATCTACAAAATTGAGTAATTACATCCATTTCTACAAGTAGCTAGTAGAACAGTGTGGGGAGTTGAGCTCTCTTCCCTTTCCCATTTGGCCAAGCAGAGGCTTCTCCATGCTGCAAAATCATTGTTCTTTTTTTGCTATGAAAATGGATATTCCAGACATTATTGTTTTTCCATTAATCATTGCTGACGTACATTATGTCCTCTTTTGATATATGCATCTTCCCTTTGTCTCTTCTACCGTTTGCTTGTGCCTGATCAGGTTGGCCTCGCTGAAAATAACACAGATTTATTCCTCAACGCACAATCACACGAATGCAAACACGGACAATATTAACAGCAACAGCGACACCGAAATGGGATTAATCACAGGTTATTTTGCACTAGGAACATGCACTCACCTTCCTCAAGACAAATGCCAAATACAAATAAGCTACTTCCCATTCATCTTGTGATAGCGTGCCTGGATATTGCCAAAGCAATAATGAAAAATGATCACTACTAAAAACTCATCAGAGGCATTCTAATGACAACACATCATTTTAGTGAATGACAAAATCAATAAGCAGTTGAAACAAATTTGGGTCACAATTAATCCACTGTTTGTACGTAAAGAGGAAATAAAGGGTTACAGGGAATGAACATACTCTGATCTTGGTTACCATCACCTAATGCACCAAGCCTCCGCATTAGCTCCACATATTCTGGTTTTTTCATATACTCATGCACAAATTCATGTGAGTTCTTCACAAAAACTAGCTCCATATCATACTGCAAAAGGTAAACACAAATTCATGGGAGTTCTTCACAAAAACTAGCTCCATATCTTGCAAAAAAATTTCACATACTTGTTCTCAGTTACAAGTAGAAAAGCATTTCAAATAGCAAAGAGTGTTCTTCTGAATGCACTTCCATCACCATTTGTATTTACAAGTAAGATACAGCTTTCAAAAGCTGGTGACATTGATATACAAGAAGAAATTATACCTCTTCTACCAGGGATTTGAAGACATGAAAGGGGACAATCCATTCAGGACAATCAACAGCATCCTGCATAGAAAATTTATATCAGAAATCATGGGAAAAAAAGTTAAATGGAACCATCCAGCTTAACATTTTAGATACAACCATATACGAACACAGCATATAAATAAACATATTAGATACCTCCAGGTGAAACTTGTACTGGATACCAAAGGGGCTTGAAGACTTGAATTTCTGAGTCATACATGAAGTAATCGTCAAATTTGGAAAATTTTCAATACTCGTGTTTTCATAGGTAATGTATCAGCTTGGAGAACAACTAAATAAATGAAAAATAAAGCACATGAGTGACAACATACCTTTTCCGAAAATTCTTCATCAAATCGTATCCAGTAGACACTATTACCAAAGACCAATCCTTCAGCTGGACATTCACAATGAAAATAGGAACTCAAATCAATAATGACAAAAGTGGTTTGCCATGCCCAACAATCTTAATGCTAAATATTTCTATATCTAATGAACTTCTCTATCTACTGGGCTTAAAAGAACATATATTGCTTATGTGAGGATTTACAGGACTTATGAAGGGGTGATCCTTGGTTACTCTCCAAAAGAAACGAAAATGTTGAAGGTGTAAAATAAACCTTCTCTAAGCTTTTTGATGATCACATTGGCATCAGGCATTGTTCCAATGAAAGTACCGCCAGGACGAAGTAAAGCTGAGACATTAGCCAAGGCTCGTCGTGCACGTGCTTCAGTAGACCAGGAATAATGCAAGGCAAACTGCAAAATAAAATGTATTTTGATGGTTCTGTTTCAAAGCTTTATTCCCCTCAAATTTTTAGTTACGTTACAACAGAAGGTAGAAATCTATTAGTGCACCGATAGGCTCACCTGGCAACTGCAAATATCAAAAGGGGCATCATCAGCCAGGACTTTATCCAGGCGAACCTGAAACCATCCACAGCATTAATAATCATAGTGCATAGAACAACATAGCAGCATTACCACATATGCTGCTGCCTAATGGCTGCTTCTTTGCAAGTACCTCAAAACAATCTCCACATATAAGGTGGGCGGGAAATGTAAATTTTTTACGGCGTTGATGATGGTCAGCATCGCCATTGTAACGGGTACGACAATCTTCTATCTGTACGTAAATTTGAAAATAGTAATAAGATGGTTGATGGTGGCACACATTTGAAAAAAGTAAACCGTAACAACAAGGCAGACAACAAAACGACTACAGCACATCTTCATAAGGTCTTGAGCGAATAGAAGTCATTTATTTGTCATCAGGAAAATATACCCATACAAGGAAGATGTCATGCTTGAAAGAGAAGGATGGTGTTCAGAAAATCCTTTACTGTCGTAAAGACTCAGCAATTTATCACTACATGATGAGGTGCAGGTTAATGAAAAACTATGTAATTCACAAGAAAGGCAAACAAGCACACAAAAGACAGAATTTACATGGTTTTAAAAAAATAGTCCACATCCAGAGGGAGATCAAATCCACCATCGACAATAAGGATAAGTTAAAGGTACTGTTGAAACCTCTCAAGTCTCAACTCACGGCCTCCACGGAGCAATACAGCATCATCCTAAACCCTGGACTAGGCCCTATATACTAGAGTTCCCCAAAACTCATTCCTTGATTGAAAAGGGAAATACTTTCCTTCCACACCAAATAAAAATGTAGGAAGTATTGAATAGAAAAAAAGAAACCTCTCCAGCATTGATCAGGCCAAATTTGGAAATAGAATAAAGGACACTTCTTAAGAATTTATATATTCAAAGTTGAAATTTATGAGAGCCCTTACACCCATTGTGTCATGGCAAAGGGCAAGTAAGGGCAGACACTATTCACGTGAATAGTGACTGCCATAGACTTTTAATTTTGCTTTCCTACCCATTGCCATGGAAAGTAAAGACAAACACTGTTCATATAAGATATGAGGAGAGGAATTTGTATGGAGTTTTTGTGTGGGAAGTGAAGAATATGGCCAGATATTTATAAAAAAGAAAATTATGAGTTTTGAGTATTTGTCCTTTTTTTTTTCTTCTTCTGGTATTTAAATTGATTGCCGATGTCACGCTAACATCAGCTCCCTTGGGCAGCAGCCCATGCAAGTCTTGCCTTTAGGCTGGCCTGGGTAAGTGGGCTCATTCTTGCCCACGCAAACCTTTGTTGTTGTGGGCCTTCTTCCAAGCCTAGGCTCCCTTTTGCCCTCACAAAATAGCACCGGTGGAAGTGCTCTTAGTATATCAAAGTATGGGCCCCTGTAAAATTCAACTTCATCATCCGTGTAGCTATACTTTGCGGTTTGCGGTACCCGCAAGTTTTGAAAATCAAATATCGCAACTGCAACCGCAAATGCGGTTCGGTTCTTAATACCGCAAATGCGGTTCGGTTTACCGCGATTGCGGTTTCATTGCGGTAAATTGTCGGTTGGTTTTTGCGGTTTTTCGGTTTTTCGGTTTAAAATGTCACCCCTACTTCATAATAGCTATAATGTAGAGCAACTACAACTCTAGCACTAGTGCAAAAATTATGCATTCTGGAAACGTAAGTGAGCAATTGAGTAGCAATACAGTAAAATGGTCCTAGAATCAATTTTTGTACTCCATAGAAAGATAACTTTGATGAAAAGCTTAGACGGCCTCAATCACATCTAAGTTATAAATATATGGAGCTATTACGTGAAAGAAAATTGTGAACCAATGAGCTAATTGTAACCAAATTTCAGTACTTACTGAGCCATCAGCGATATCGATGCCAACATAATATCCAATTTTGGCCTTGTCCCATTTGATGAGATCACCACCCTAGCCAAAAAGAAAAAAATATATTAAAAAGAGAAAATTAGTGGAAGGAGGGGGAAAAAGGAAGACGTAATGGACTATCAATACCTTGCCACATGCAAGATCAAGTACAGCATCTCCTCTGCTAGCATAGAGTTGAATTAAGACACTCTTAATCTGCTCAATATGAGAAGGAACTATAAGCAATTGGAAAAATATGGAGTGTGATTATACCATTATGGAGTATCTACGAGATTAAAGGACATACCCAATTGTTAAGCTTTTTTAAATGGATGATTGGACTAGCTTCTCGTTCTTCCAGCGTTTGATTCGTCCTTGCACTGTAATGATCTGCCACT